TTCTAAATCAGTAAAATTTTGTCTCCAAATACTGTATTCAAATGATTTAGTTATCATCAAAGTGGATATAGTAAAGTTAGAAATTTAAGTTGCTTAAGGGGCTTTATTATAGTTGATTTTTAAGCTAATATAGTAGTTATTTGGCTTAGCTGTTGTAAATTCATCGTAAAGAGAAACTTTAATGTAATACTGTTATTGCACTTTATTAATTGGTTGTGGAGCATCACTAACCTTATATGTTAATTACTAATCGTCCATGGAAGTTATAATGAACCAACTAGCAGTTGATTTTATAGAAGTGTTGGTACTATCCAGAATATCAGCTGCAAACATAGGTATATCATCTTCAAAATCAGAAAAATACGAAATTTGCTAGGAATGATCTCAATGAGCAAAAATTACAATATCAGTTTAAAAGTTTTATATTGCTTTTGGAGGAGAGTTAGGCAAAAACTCAATTTAAATGTTTGTAGAGTTAGAATATCCTGATGATTCAATGATAAAAGCTGAGTAAACTAAATTTAAGATACCTTCAGCACTGGCTTAATTCGGGGTGATTGTAAGTGTAAACAGGATAGGATCAAACTTAATGAAAGAAGGTAATGGCTGATTAGAAGATAGTTTCATCTCAGTTGTAAGAGGATATCCACTGCATTATATGAATTATTCAAGTTAAATAAAGTATCTTTTGCTTCCAATACTAATGCCTCCATTTTAAGAATCTATTGGCTAGCCAGTTCTATTTTATACAATAGGAGCTGCTGGGTTTGAATAGAATCTGCAAGTTCCATAGATTTTCCTAAAATCACCAGCAGTTTTAGTGGCATAATAAATCTTTACATTTTGATTGTTGCTCAAATATCTTAAAACATTCACATTTGGTGTAGCTTAGTGATAAAATGACACTGATTGCCAAATACCTTGTTGATCACCATTTATTCCATTACTCCCAATATTATAAGTAGAGTAAGAAGTAGTATCTTCTGTTTGTATTCCTCCAGATGAACAAGGATTATCCCACGAAGGTCCATTATAATCTGAAACTCTAAGAATAAAGTGGGAGTATTGAGTTAATGTATTATAGTTTGCCCTTAAATGAAAATATAGGAGGTTATTCCTCTCTTCTAAATTTATTTTTTAGACTTGATTTGAAGCCAATGTGAATTTTAGTTATTTGGTTTTATAGCTGAAAGTAGTCATATCAATAAACCTTAAATGTGAAT